CTAAGCCCTAAACCCTAAGCCCTCCGAGGCTTGCTAGACAGTTGCATTGACCTGGCGCTGGAGAGCCCCGAGAGCGGCGTCGGGGTGAACCTTGGCGTGGCGATGCTGGAAGGCGACCCTTAGACCTCTGAATCCAAAACCTCATGCCGTTTCCCGCAAACCCTGGACCCTAAACCCTGAACCCAAAGCCCTAAACCAAAAACCCCTAAACCCTAAAACCTTAAGCCTAAACCTTAACCCTAAACCCACACAACAACCCCTAAGCCCTGAAGGCATCTCATCCGTGAATCTTGGAGCGCGTATGGGCCAGAACAGCTCCCTCAACGAGTCCGCGAACCTGTCGACCACGCTGCTGGGTTCTTGTTGGTTTACAGTTTAGGGTTTAGGGTTTAGTGTTTAGGGTTAAGGAACCTAAGCCTTGCTCAGTTGCAACAGGTAGGAAAGCAGGAAAGCATCTGAACTACTTCATTTCGCTCTCATGGCTGACATCAAGCTCCCTAAAGTTTAGAACTAGGTAAATCTTTCTAAAACCTACGAAGGCTCAGCGACTTCAAATTACTGTTACTTACGTTAAACCAAACCCCAAACCCTAAACCCTACACCCTAAACCCTGAAAGCAACAGCTAGGCTGGAGACGCTGACCTCCAAGCTCGCAGATGCTAGTCTGGCACTCATGCGCCTGGGTGAATCGAACCCTGGTCGCCCACCACAGCGCTCTTTTTTGTTTGTCGTTTGCATAGGATTCCATGAGGGCTTGAAAAAGGATGAAAAAAGGGCTGCGGAAGCTTTCGGCTTTCTTTACTCACATGAAGGAACGCGGAAAAGGCTTCTTATCAATCAGGGGATACCCAGAGAGCCCAATACCCCCTAAATAAGGAATATACCTTAAATTATAGGGGCCTTAATATTATGATTTAAGGTATATTCCTTAGTTAAAGGGCCCTTTTGGGCTCTCTGGGACATTGGGAAAACCTAGGAAGTCCATGACTTCTTCCGACGGTGACAGTGGCCTAGCCCTGGAGCTTTCCCGTGCCTTGGAAGAAGGTTTGCGGTTTAGGGCTTGGGGGTTTGGATTTGGGGATTAGGGTTTAGGGTTTGGGGGTTTAGAGTTTGGGGATTAGGGCTTGGGGTTCAGGGTTTGGGGGTTTAGAGTTTGGGGCTTGGGGGCTTGGGTTTGGGGATTAGGGTTTACGGTTTAGGGTTTGGGGGTTTAGAGTTTGGGGTTTAGGGCTTGGCGTTCAGGGTTTGGGGGTGTAGAGCCTGAGCCAGGAATTACCCTATACCCTAAACCCTTAAACCCTAAACCCTAAGCCCTTAAACCCTAAACCCTTAAACCCTAAAAAAAACCCCAGAGCCAGGAATTACGACGATGAGCTTCCGGGGAGGCCTGGCCTACGGACGTCTGAGCGCCCCAAGGAAGGTGGAGCTCCTCACGCGTCGACCCTCAGCTCCGAAAGCAGTGGCCCTTTTTGTTTAGGGGTTTAGGGTTCAGGGTTTAGGGTTTAGGGGTTTAGGGTTTAGGGTTTAGGGGTTTAGGGATTTAGAGGTTTTGGGTCAGGGTTCAGGGTTTAAGGTACGCCCTAAACCCTAAACCCTAAATCCGTTTTGTTTTAAATGTAGTTGTTCCTTGTTTTTTTTGGTAGGGTGGTTGAACAGAGTCCTGAGGATTTCGATGAGGGTTCTGGAATTTGAGAAGTGGTTTAGGCTCCCCGGTTGTAGTTTTTTTTTCGCCGTTTGGGATTGAGGGTGAAGGGTTTCGGTTTTTGGATTGGGGTTGAGTGTTTCGGGTGTAGGCTTTCAAGTTCAGGGGTTCCCCTTCTAAGCTGAATAGCAGGGAAAGAGGCATTCTTTCTTCGGCTACTCCGGGACTGAGGACTGCAGATGGCTAACGAGAGCTGCGATGCGCCCGATGCCCTGGACGTGAAGCTGACATTCTGGCAGAGGAATAATCCGTACAGCTGGGCGGATCCTTCGAAGGCTATGAACCGCTTGGTGACCCCAAATAACACCGTGGCCGTTCTCCAGCTTCTAGGTGATTCTAGGTTTTGCTTTGAGGAGCGTAGCCTGAGTTACCAGAATGGGCTCTGTACTAATAAATAAATAAGTAGATAAATAAACAAATATATATATATATGTATATATACATACATACATACATACATACATACCTACGTACGTACGTACGTACGTACGTACGTACGTACGTACATATATATATATATACACACATATTACACACACATAGATGGATAGGGATATATATATATGTGTGTGTGTATAGACGTACATATAATAAAACACGGCAGTATATGTGTCCAGAGACAGTTGATAAATAATTTGTCTGTATTATGTTAACTTGAAGTTAAGCTCCCAAAATCCTAAACCGTAAGCGCTAAACCCTAACCCCTAAAACCCTAAACCCTAAAACCCCCTAAAAAGCCCTAAAGGCCCAAAGCCCTAAACCCTAAACCCTAAACCCCCAAACCCCTAAAAACAACCTAAAACCCGAAAGCCCTCAACCCCAAACCCTAAACCTAAAGCTACTTTCCGACACAAGCCCAGAGCCCAGGTTGGAGCTTTGCGGCTCTCCGGTCACCTTCAACGACACGGATCCGGATGCCGCTGTGGAAGTGAGGCCTGTTTTTTCTTTTAACCCTTTTTCTCCGAGTTTTTGGCTGCTCCTTTAAAGGGTTGCTGTAAGGATTTAGGGTTTAGGGGTCCTTTAAAGGCATGCTCTGAGGGTTTAGGCTATAGGGCTCCTTTAACGAGGTGCTATAAGAGATTAGTTTAAGGTTTAGGGCTCCTCTACAGGGATACTATGAGGGTTCAGGCTGCAGAGATCCCTCAAAGGGTGCTAAAAGGGGTTTAAGGTTTAGGGTGTCGCAGCTCAGTGTTAGGAGTCCAGGGTTCGGCGTTTAGGGTTTAGGGTTTAGGGTTTAAGGCTGTTCCTTGATTGTTCGGGGTCTGTGCTGACATGCTTGATATGGGATTGGAAGTAGGGCTAGTTAGCAAGAACGTGTTTGTTAGGGTTCCGGTTTGTCAGCGCACTACAACATGCCCCAAAACCCCTTCCAATTGTGAAGCCCCCATGTGCTTAGCCATCCCATACGAAGGTCCGAATTGCGAGAACTGAATTGCCGCAAACCCGAAAACCTGAGGCAAGCAAACACAAAGACCAAAAACCCTGCAACCGTCTAGTAACCCTTCTAGTACCCTTACAATACCCTTTAAAAGGAACCCCTGAACCAACCTTAGCCGCCATTGAAAACAAACACCGCCACCCATGCGTCCCTCGGTCTGAAGACCCGCGCCGGTTCCAAAGATGCTAGTAGGGGTTAGGGTTTAGGGTTTTAAGGGTTTTAGGGTTAGGGTTTTAGGGTTTAGGGTTTTAGGGTTTAGGGTTTTAGGGTTTAGGTTTAGGGGTCCCCAATAGTACCCTTTCGAGTACGTTTTAGGAAAAAAGGGTACCCTTACTAGGAAGGGAGGGAAGGGCCCACTGAAAAGCCCTAGGATGTGAGCCCCGAGGCCCGCAGCCCGTCTGTTTCTCGGGCGTTTTTGTCTCTAAACCAGGGGTTGTACCAAAGCTTTGTAGGGGTTATACTAAGGGTTAGTCTACGGGTTCCCGGGTTTTGTTTTTTGCATTGGGCCCGAACCCTCGACCTGTAACCCTGAGACCCTGAACCAAAATAAGTTAAATTGAATCTGAACCCGTAGTCCCAAACCATGAAACCCTAAACTCAAAATCCTAAGCCCCAAGCCCACCCTCCAATCCTAGCAGGGCCTTCACCGCTTGTTCAGGCTCCCTTAAAAATCGTCGGGTTTGGGCATCTGCATTTCCAAGGAATACCCCAAACCCTAAACCCTGAACCCCTAAACCCTGTCTGAGAGAGGATGTTCTGTTTTCCGGAGGGCCAACATGGCCAGTGTGCGTGAGCTTTGGTGAGTGTGCACATGTCCTTTTAAAAAACCCTAGACTCTAAACCCTAAACCCCTAAAACCCTAAACCCTAAATCCTAAGCCCTCAAACCCGAGAACCCCCCAAAGCCTAAAACTCCTAAGCCTCAGAACCCATAACCCTCGGTTTAGGGTTTAGGGTTTTAGGGTTTGGGGTTTTAGGGTTTACGGTTTTAGGGGTTTGAGGGTTTAGGGTTTTAGGGTTTTTTGGTTTAGGGCCAACCCCAAAACTCAGACCCCGAACCCTCGGTCCTTAACCGCAGGCCCTAAGCATTAAATCCTTGGGTTTAGAGCTTTAGGGTTTAGGGTTTAGGGTTCAAGGGGGTCTCTGCGTGGCAGGGACATCGACCTGCCAGCGAAGCCGCCGCCCGTGTGGGGCTACTGGCTGGATGTGGCCTGTGCAAGGCTCCGTCTGATCCGCCTGTGGGCTTGTGGGGAAGATCATTCCCCCCCCCCCCCCCAAACCCCTAAAGCCCTAACGCCCTAAACCCTTAGCCCCTAGCCCTAAACCCTAAACCCCTAAATCCCTAAACCCCTAAACCCCTAAACCCCTATCATCTGTGCATCATGAGGAGCATTGGCATCCGGTCCTGGGAGACTCGGGGTGTTCCTGGAATTGTTCTTGGGTGTGTAAGGCTTGAACTGCTTTTAGGAAGTTTAGCGTTTGGGAAGTTTGGGGTTCAGGGTTTAGGGTTTGGGGTTTAGGGTTCAGGGGCGCCCTGCGCTGGAAAAATTTCGGGTTTGCACATATTTGCAACCTTGAGCCCTGAAGCCTAAACCTTCACACGAAAGCACTTTTCGTCTCGGGAGGTGAGAGTATGGATTGCTGAACTCTTTTGGTTCCTGTGGAGGTTCGAACAAGGATTTCAAAAACACAGTATCCTACCTCGAACCCGAAACTCTAAACCCCACACCTGGACCACACCCAAAACCCCGAACCCTGAACTTCAAACCGAAAACTCTAAACCCCAAACCCTGCTACAGAGAAAGCCCGCTCCAAGGAGCTTCTCGACGCTCGGGTTTTGTGCAGACGGGAAAGGGCCTTCAACGAGAACCACAATACCTAGTGCAGGGGTTGCAGGATGAAGCCGCTAGCTCCCTAAACCCTAAACCCTACAGAGAGAGGCACTCAACCCCAGAATTTAGGGTTTAGGCTTTAGGATGAAGCTGATAAGTCAGGGACAGGATCTTTGCGGCCCCGTGCAAGATGGGTTTTGCAGGGCCTTAGAGGGCGTTGAACACATTTTCGGCTCTATCCAGGGAGTCCGAAAACTCCGTGTTTGAAGAATCGTCTTTCATACACCTCCTCTGTAAGGGCTTTTCAGAAGTTCAAGAACGGCCACAAAAAGGGGGTTGCCTAGGTTTAGGATTTAACTTTCAATTGGGATCCTTACTCTGGGCCCGTTCCTCACATTGCAGTTATAACCAAAACCCTAAACCCTGTACCCTAAAGCCTAAAGTGCCTAAAGCCTAAACAGCCACGTGGCAACAAGCATCCAGAGCTCTCTATCAAGAGAAGCCCGCGTCTTTGCAAGTATCACCAGGTGGTCTCCTCGTGACCAAAGCTGGGTCTTTGATGGCGTCGAGGTGAAGCAGCCTGCGCCAGGTTTGCATCTTTAGGCTCGGTTTGAGTTTCGGGTTTTTGGGTTTAGGGTCTAGGGTTTTCGGTTTCTTTTAGGTTTAGGGTTTTTGGGTCAGGGTTCAGAGGTTTAGGGTTTGGGGTTTTGAGTTTAAGGCGTCAGGATCTAAGCGATGATTTTTTTGGAAGTCTGGTCTGTACTCTAGGACTCTAAGCCCCAAAGCCAAATCCCCAAGCCCTAACTTAAACTCCCGCCTTAATATACTAACGTCCCGTCTGAATATTTACCATATATATATATAGAGAGAGAGAGAAAGAGAGAGAGAGAGAGAGCGAAAGACAGAGAGAGAGAGAGAGAGATTTCGAACTATTGAAAAGAGTATCTCTGTGTAGTCCTCGCACAGTTGTACCACATGCCACTATCCTCCCATCAGATTCTCGGTTCGAGGCGTGCCGTAGGGTTTGACGAATTTCTCAGCGGTTTTCAGATGTTAACAAGGGTTTGTATTCCGTTAGTGCTTTTTTACAAGGTTTCGTAGGGTTTAACAGATCCTCAACCGCGCTAAACCCTAAACTCCAAACCCTCAGTTGTTTAGGGTTTCGGGGCTGTCCTGTGAAGGGCTGAAGGCGTTGGCCTTTCGGCATGCCCCTTGCTTGAGGCCGTCCTTAAACAGGATCCCGTAAAGGGATCCCTTAAAGGAACCCTTAAAAGATCCCTAAAAGGATCCCTTCCCTTAGAGGAACCCTTCCTTTAGAGGAGCCCCTAAAGGAAAGCTTAAAGGATCCCTTAGAGGGATCTTAGTTGTGGAGCGTCCGACCGTGAAAGATGCGTCATTGAGTCATATTGAAAGGGTCCAAATACTCCTTGATTTAGGACCTGTGCGACCCTTGCAGGTATTAATACCCTTGAGGCAGGACTACTTAGGCTTTGTTTAGATAGAGTACATCCTCAAGCCAGATTTTCATGACTTATGTCCCGGTCGAACTGATCATGTTTGGGCGTGTCCCAGGTGTACAACGATGACGTGAAGGTCACGTGCAGGGCCTTCTACGGCGGCGCCGCCTACGCTGCAGTTTGGCTACCCGTGGAGGTGACCACCTCCACGACAACGCTGGAATGGACGTACCCGGCATATACAACGCCCCTTGCCTAGAACCCAAAGCCTGGGGTGGACTTGGTGGAAGCTAGATCACCGCACTTAGAACGTAAGCCTCAACCCCAGAACACCCATAGAATGTGAGCCCAGAGGAAGGGTTCATTGCAGTCTTTTTATACAACCGCAAACCCTGAGCTCTAAACTAAACCTTCTCTGGCATCAGGCAGCCTCAGAGCCGGTCGCCGCTACAGTAAAGCCTATCCGCCGGGGCTGCTTTATACTAATTTTGGCATAGGCTCCCCCCTCCCGCCCCCCGAATATTCCGGATTCTATTCCAGAGGATTTAGAGTTCAGGCGTTTCGAGTGTGTAGGAGGGGGTCATGGTTCTGGGTTTAGTATGGTTTAGGATTATAGGGATAAGGGTTTGCGAAACTGGGAGTGCAAGCTTGGAGGAGCGCGGAATCAGAATGATTGGCGCCGGGAGTGCTTTCAAGTTTTCCTAAACCCATTTGAAGATGGTGGTTTTCCAGCTCCTCTATCCCGAAGCCGCGGGCCCTAAAGCTTTAAGCGCATGAAACTGAAATCCTCAGTGCTTCAGTTTAGGGTTCAGGGTTTAGGATTTAGGGATTAGGGTTGAGGGTTTAGGGTTGAGGGTCTAGGGTTGAGGGTTTAGGGTTTTGGGTCGCAGTCGAGTCTGTATAGTGCAGGGAATAGGGTTTAGCGCTTTGGATTTTTGAGTTGAGGGGGTCGGGGATTAGATCTTTTTGGTGCACTAGGGGAGATTGGATCAGTAGCTGAAGATTGTTATGTAGCCAAGGGAGTGTGTGTCCTAGAAGCCCTAAGCCCCAAACGCCAAAGCCTACCCCCTCAGCCCGCCCTAAACCCTAAACACCCAAATCCTACAACACCCAGCCGCAAACTCCACGTCTTGAACATATTGAGGTTCTCTAAATTAGAGTCCCTGTTTAGAATCCCCCAACATACTACGGCACCCTTATTAAAGAGGACCCTAAAATGGACATTAAATTTAGAGGACTACCCACACACTGAGGTTTTTTGTGCCGAGCCTGCCCCCGGTCTATGTGGTCTCCTGCAACGAGACGCTCCTGCCCGACCCTCCTGCAGGTGACTTCCGGGTTGCCAGAAGTCGGTGAAGTTGCTTAGGGTTTTGGGGTTTGGGGATTAGGGTTCTTCAGAAGTCAGTGATGTTGCTTAGGGCCAGGGGTTTAGGGTTTCGGTTTCTGTGGCCCTCTTTGCGGATCCTGCTGAGTGTCCCTTTTCCTTTCCTAGGGTTTATCTAACTCTGCCGCAGCTACATGCCAGCTTTTGGGGCCAACAACTAAGACTTATAGCGCTTAGGGTTTAGGGTTTTTAGAAACTTAAATCCAAGGCGCGGCGCCCGACGCCAAGCCTCACAAGCCCAATTCGAACGCCGGAAGCCTTGAAGTAAAGTATAAATCCCAAGCCGTAAACCTCCGGAAGGCTTGGTTTTAGCATGCCTTGGGGTTCCTTTCCCTGCTGTAACTATGGCACAGGAAGCCCCGACCCTCTATTGAAGTTCGTCAAGCCCGTTCAGCGTTACAAGACCTTCCTTCTAAGCAGAAGCGTTGTAGGTTGCGGTTTTACGGCCCTGTTGAGACTTGCTGTACGCCGCCATGAATACTTGAGGTTCCAAGGTTCCTTTAAGGGTTTTTGGTGGCACCCTAAACCCTAAACCCTAAACCCTGAACCCCTGAACCCCTAAACCCTAACCCTAAATCCTAAACTCTAGACTCTAAACCCTAAACCCTAAACTCACGGTCAACGCCGAGAGCAGGCTCTGAAGTTGCCCCAAACGTGTCAAACCCGGAAGGGTTCAGGGTGTAGGGGTGTGGGTTTAGGATGTAGGGTTTGGGGTTTAGAAACGTTTAGGGTGTAGGGGTGTAGGAGTTGAGGGTGTAGGGGTTTCCCCTGGTCCCTATGATAGTCCCTTAAGGCCCGCTATAGTAGTCCCAGTAACCCAACCAGCCAGGTTTAGGGGTTCAGGGGTTTATCCCTTGCTCCTGCTGTTGAGAGGGGAGCGCGAGTTCCAAGCAGCCCAAAGGGTTATTTAGGGTTTAGGGTTTATAGGGTTTTGGGCTTAGGGTTTAGGGTTTAGGGTATTGGGCTTAGGGTTTAGGCTTAAAGCCTCCCCTAAACCCTAAACCCTGAACTAAACCCCGAACTCTAAGCCCGAAAGTACCCGCAGGCTCCTGGGACTGCACCAAGCCCGGAGAGGGCCAGGAATGTAGGGCTCCCTGCTTTGGCTTCCCGACGCTGGGCAGTTGTGGTTTGATTTTATGGAAGGCATACTGCCCATTGGTTCTTCTTTGGTTTTTCTTCGTTCATATGTTTTGTTTTGCTCTATTCTTCTTGTCTAGTTTGCGTTGCTACGTTGCTACATATTTTAAGAGGTTGTGAGGGGCTTTGGGATTAAGAACGGCTTGAAGGGGGTTTAGGCTTCAGGGCTTCGGGGTTTAGGGGTTTAGGGCTCAGACTTCGCGGGTCTTGGATCTTGGTGTTCTGGAATGCAGGATTCGCGGTTTCTAGTGAAGGGCTTAGGGCAAGCTTCTGGCTGCGGCCTTTCTATACAGCCTCCGGCCCCACCAAGCCCTAAACCCCAAACCCAAGCCCACTAAATTCTGCCTGCGACGCTTCAAACTGTACTCCCTAGAGCCTTTTGCCTGAAGTGTCAACCTGCAAGAGCGTCGCAGCCCAAAGCCCCATGTGGCCCGCAAGGTCTTTAAATCCCAAATGGGTAGCTCTCTAAATTGGGGTCCCTTTTCGGGGGTCCTTTTCATAAGGGTGCCGTACTATATTGGGGACCCTACCCAAATTGCTAAAGCGCTGCATCTTAATCCGTGGCTCTTGAGCTGGTTCTTAAGTCCTGAGAAGTGCGGGGTTTCCGCGCCGGTAATGCAGGGGCTTGAAAAAAGCACAAATGGGATTCCTCATGTTTCCCTTATATAGCTATAGTATACAGCTCCCGAAGCCCTAGTCTAACCATTCGTTCCTATGCATTCGGGCTCGTGGGGCAGGGTGTTCAAAGTTCAATCGTTGCGGTCTCTATAGGTCGTTAATTGAGGCCTTAATTGTCAGAAGAGGGCTTTGGTATAGCAGAGAAGCATTACATAGGGACTGAAGTATGCCCTAAACCCTAAAGTATCCATTATTGCTTACGGCTTACGACCTAGGCTCCGATATTGAGACCCTAAACCCTAAACCCTAACCTCCCAAGTGCTCGACCAAGATCCCCCTCCTCACCTAATCGCTCGCGCAACCCTACCTGCACAGCAAAGCCCTTAAACGCTGGGTCTAGGGTTTGGGGTAGGGTTTAGGGGTTTAGGGTTTAGGGTTAGGGCTTAAGCCCCAAGCCCTGACCGGCCCTGAGCCCAAAGAAATACAAAACCCCGAAACCAAGGCTCCAAACCCGAAGCCCTCCTCCCTAAACCCTAATCCCTAAATCCTAAACCCTACACCCTAAACTCCTTAAGCCCTAAACCTAAGCCCCTGTGGTATATAAACCCTTAATCTCCTCCGACTCAGGAACAACATCTTCAGCATGACCTGCCTGAAGGGGGCCGACTCGCTGGAATGGTTTACCACGAACTTCTGCCCGGTGTTCAGCCCCACCACCACCTACGAAGAAGTTAGGATTCCTGCGGAAGAGGCGGTCACTGGGGGCCTGCTTATCTTCGTCTGGGTCGTCCTCGCGACTTGCCCTCCGTTCGTAATGCCTGAACTCTTCTCCTCGATTCCTGAAGCCTGCACCCAGTAACATAGGGGCCTAAGTAAACACCTATGCCATGTTTGGGTTCCTTTTTTGTAAAGTATCTTATTAGGATGATAGTTATAGTATAATACATGCCCAAAGCCCTATTCTAATTATGAAGGCCCCTATATTGATTGTCCTGGGATCCTAAAGCCTCAACCTTCGGCCCGCAGTCGTAAACCTGACGCCTGGCGCCCCGGAGCCCTCAAAACCCTCAGGTTGGCAGCTAAGCCCTTATTCCCAAACCCTAAACCCCCAAACCCTAGTCCCTAAACCCGAACTAAACCCTGAGCCCCCAACCCCTATTCCCTAAATCCTAAACCCGAAACCCTAAACTCCCTAAACCCTAAACCTAAGCCCCTATCGTGTACCCTTCAGCTCCTATGACTCAAACCTCCAAAGGGTTTCAGAGAGGCTACGGTTTTGGGCTTTGGGTGTTTGAGCTTTGGGTTTAGGGTTTTGGGCTTTGGGTGTTTGGGCTTGGGCTTGTGCGACCTAGTTGCGACATCAGAAAAGAGGAGTCCTATAGTGCTTTCAGGTTCAGGGACATACCGTTCCAAGACTTGACTTTTTTGTTGTGTGTTGTTTTGGGGATTTACTAGGGTCAATGGCTTTGAAGCTAAGGATTAAGGATTTTGAAAGGGGGTTTTAGGGGTTCAGCGTCTTCAAGGCTTGAGAGCAGCCCAGGTCACCTGCAGTGCTGGTGTTGCTGCGCTTGTGGCCTACGGGGGATATCGTTTCGCACAGAAGGAGCCTCTGGACTATGGGGTTTCCGGGTTCTTGTCAAAGAACGTAGCTTTTAAAGTTCCCATGATTCGGGACATAACAAAGGACATGCCTTCCTTATTGTGTTAACTTACGAAGACCGCACGTTCGGCAGAGTTTTAGGGGTTTGGGGCTTGTGGCCGTCGGCTGTCAGGTCCGGACATGTCTCAAGAGCTCTACTGGATGCCTCAGGCTGTGCTCTTGTTACGGAACTTAGTTGTTAGCTCAAGTTATCATTATAAGGAACCATATTAGTCATTATGGGTTCTTGTTCTGGTAGCTTAGGCTGAGTTCCTTAAAATATCCCCCCGGGAGGCCTAGCCTGAGCCCCTCGAAACCACCGGCCTGCCACGGGGCTCCTTTAAGGGTTCCTCGAAGGGCTCCTGTAAGGTCCCCTTTTAGGGGGGTTCGTTTT